GGTCTTAGAAAAATATCGACTCTTTGTTTGTAGATATCTACTAAACTACAGCATACAAATACAGAAAGTAATGTAGGCCTGTTATACTGAGTGATATATATTTTACACACTGCTCTGCTTTCTGCACGGACCTCACAGCTGTTCTCACTGTAAACATCGCGTTGCGATGAAAGCAGTTACTAAAATAATATCCAAGGGATGCATGCAGAGCTGTCATTGGCTGAGATAAGTCCGGCCGTGCGTCACGCCTCCACCGTTCCCGGAAATGCATCCGTGGAGGAGCCGTGGAGGATGCATCAGTGTCTCCTCGGTTATAGCTCCTCCAGAGAGCCTCCTCGACGCTCGATGCTCGGTCCTCGAAGTGCATTTAGAGAAATTAGATGTCCTTCAAAATGGCGCGCTGAAATTCATTTCCAGGTCACTACCGGAGGACCGAGGAGTCGAGGAGTCGAGGAGGGGAAATTTGAGCATTGGGAAACCTCTCATGATTGAGGGTAGCACCCATAGAGTCCAGTAGAGCAGGGGTTCCCGAAGTGGGGGTCGCGAGATGATTACAAAAAATAAAAATAAAAATAAAGTATAAAAAGAAATTGATTAATTTTCTTTATAATTTTTTTTTAAAATTATTATTAATAATAACGTTTGCATAGACCATAAACATTTTCAGGGGCGGACTAGCCATCTGTATATCATTTCCCCGCAACAAGGCTCTAGCACCCCCGTCCGTCCGTCCGTCGACAGGGGGCCGCCAGTCTCTGGCACTGTTATTTTGGGGGTCGCGGGCTGAAAAGTTTGGGAACCCCTGCAGTGGAGGGCGGAGCCTGTGTAAGATATAACAGATACAGAGGAAGGCATGGGAATAAATCACAGCTCTGGCAACAGAAGTGGCACATTCAATGTTTTATATGAACAATGTTTCTGCTTTATGTGTCTTTATTTAGGCCTCTGTTTGCTCACATTTACATAACCATGACTTTGTTTACAACCTAGTAAAGTTATGGGAACCGCAGGCTCCGCTGCCATCAACACAAATCAAAACTCTGTGAATCCAGTCGTGTGGAGTGAAAATTAGACAAGCTTACTGGTTGAAACAGTTTTTTGCAATGTAGAGAAGAATATAGCCTTCCTCAGTGAATAGTTTGGCTCTGTTTCCTTTTGCAGGCTGATGAGAAGTCCTTTGACTTCAAACCGGGCTTCATGACCTCTTTTCTTGACTTCCTGAAGACAGGCAAAAAGCAGTCAGGCCTTGAACCCGGACATGACGGACATGAGCAGGAGTCCCTGGATCTGTGTTCCTCTCTGAAGGGGGGGATCAGACCCTTATCCTCACTTCCTCCTGCTCTACTACCGACTCCTCCACAGAAGGCTGCAGGAACATTTAGCGGGGGGGGGCAGTGTGACGGGGCAGACCTGGCTCTCAGCAGCTGCAAGCCACTGGACGAGGATCTGAAGAGGAACCTGGAGACGCTGCCGTCCTTCTCCTCTGATGAGGAGGACTCAGTCAGTAAGAACCAAGACCTGCAGAAGAGCATCTCCTCGGCCATCTCCGCCCTCTACGACACTCCGCACTCATTGGCTGCTGCAATGGCTTGTGCCATGGCTAAGGCCCTGCCCACCCTGTCCCCGCCCACCCCACAGGAGTCCCCGCTCAGCCCCACCCTTCCCGCCATGCCTCCACTCATCCCCAGTATGGAAAATGGAAAAGAGGAGGTGCTAATGTACACACAGGATCACATACAGGACAAAGAAGAGGAGAACTTGGTCTCCCCGCAGACCAATACAGAGAGAGCAGAGGGGAGGGAGGAGAAGGAGGGACGAGAGAAGGAGCAGCAGGGAGGCAGTGAGGAAACAAGACGAGATCCACAGGGTCTGCTGCAGGGAGCACTGGCAGAGCAGCAGGAGAAGGAAGAGGAGGAAAGGAGGTCTGAAGTGCAGACTCCCGAGGTCCTGGAGGTTGAAGGTACTGTTTCTCCCCCTTTCTTTTAAACTGTAACATCTCCTCTACTCAGTTTGTCTGGTCACGTCCTGAAAGGTTATATGGACTGAAACCATCTTAAGTCAGGATCCCTCACCAGGCAGCTTCTCATGGAGACGCCCCCCTGCCCTAATGTGACTTCACTATAGAACCTCAGTCATGTGATAACAGATGCTGATTTGTCTCTGCTGACTCACTATAGCAGAAAGAACAACCAGAAGGAGTTAAAGGCTACCTTTTAAAACTTTGGTCTAGTGATGACATCTGAGGCGTCTTAATGACAACTCCATTCACTGAAGTTATGCCATGACAACACTCTGTATAAAGAGTAAGTTAACCGTAATGTTATTTAATTCATAGAAAGAAAGAAATTCACAGAAAAAAATATGTTGTTTCAGACTGATATCAGGCTGTTATTTGATGTGCCAAACACACCGAACCAGGGAAGGAAAATGCTGAGTCAGGTTTCCCCCCCCCCCATCCCTGACAGCATTTCTCACTTTCTGAAATGTTTCTCCTACACTTTCAGGTCCTCCATCAGACCTTTCCCCTGCTCCTCCCTCTCCATCACCACCCCTCTCCGCCTCACCCCCATCCAATTGTTCCCCCCCGCCCCTCCCTCCCCTGAGTCTCTCCGTCCCCCCCCAGCTGCTGGTCCTGCAGGAGGATCCTCTGTCTGAGCAGCTGGAGTTCTCCTTCCAACCGGCTCCCCCTGCAGGCTCCACCTCCCCTCCCACCATCTTCTCCTCCCCCCTCTCCAACCTTCCCTTGAGCCAGTCCATTCCCCCGCCCTCCACCACACCTCCCCCTTCATCCTCTGATCAGGACCAGGAGCCTGAAGCTGAGCAGCCTTCCCCCTTCTCACTCACCTCTTCCTCACCCTCTTCACCCTCCTCTTCATCCTCCTCTCCGCCACCATCCCCTCCAACCCCTGAGGAGCCCCCGGCGTCTCAGCGTCTGACTTCCCTCCACCTAGCCAAGAAGCAGGCAGATGCCGCCATAGCTGGGGAGAGTGAGGAGGAGGACAGCGAGAGCGGTGGGGAGGGAATCTTCCGTGAGCGGGACGAATTTGTGGTTCGCACTGAAGACATTGGCACGCTGAAGGTATTTACACTTTGTCTTTGTTGATTTATTTGTAAGGGGCATGCACAGTGGCGTAAGTATTAAAAATAATGATTACAACAAAATGCAAAAATGTAATTAAAATATATTTTAAGATCATGTTTAATCATCTGATTCGTCTGTACATTGCTGTTTTAGTCTGTGTTCTTCTAATTAGTGTCTACAGTGTGTGCCTATTGAGCTGTTGAGAGCCATGTGGGACAAAACCCGATCATGCCCCTCCCTCTCACTGTCTAAGTGAACGGTGACTGTAAAAACTACACTGCGCATGCTCAGAGTATTGTCCTATTTAATGTGTGTGGCAAAAAATAATGACCATAGGGGCAGTGAGCTGCCGTCCCCACCACACGTCATCTCACATAATTCAGAGCTGATTGGCTGTAAGTACGTGTGCCGCGAAAAGTGTGGTGTCTGAAGAGGATTAAAGAGATGCGTCCTTAAACCAGGAAGTAAGCTGCGCATGGGTTCCCTCCACAAAAAAGCAATGAGATTTCTCCATAGGATTTTAGAAAATAGCTCAAAATAAGATCTGTGCGAAACGTAGCTGTTAGATAAATGCACGTTTTGTTCAGCCGGATAATATCCACATGTCTACCCTACTTTTATTATTTTCGAATCATAAATCTATCGATTAGATTTATGATAGACTTTTGAATCTACAAGAAGATAAGGAGGACTTTTACAAAAAAGTAATAGAGATTTTTGTCCAGAAGGATAGGCAAATGGACTTCATCTTTAAGTCAAGGTAAGACCACCATTTTATTGAAAATGGGATCTTACTAAGAGAGAACAATTAAATATTTAAATGATAAAATTACATTTTATGGTTATTCTTTTGTTGAACTGTCTGTTTAAAATTAATCGAAGGATCAGACTAAAAAAGCTTTTGAAAAGAATATTATATTTTGATTTAGGTCAAAATATAATATGTGTAAACCTGAAGAGTCAGTGCCAGTGCCTCACCAGCCATGAACCTCACTGCAGAAGCTTATATATAGACATCTAAAGTTTTTTTGTGCTTCCACCACTTTTGTTACATATAAAAACGCCACTGGGCCTATCACTAAAATAATATTGATGAGAGAGCACATCATACCC